GAAATGAATAAATATACACACGGGGGCACCATTCTACGTGTCTTTGAGTGTTTGAGCCTTTCGGGCATGCTAGGGTCACTATTTCAATATCTTCTCTGCAATCCTGAGGGCTGGAAACCTCCTTACCTAGTCACTGAAAGCCGAGGTGCTCATGGAATCACTGGACTCCAGAATCTGGGGCTTTCAGCAAAACCCCTAATTAGTGCTGGACTCGCTATAAAACCACAAGAGATGGTGACTCTGATGAAGGGCAATGAAGCTGGGAACTTAAAGGTTAAATTTGGCCCCTGTTCAATGGGAAACCAGTGCAGAGAGCGGTGCCCGGAATGATGGGCTCTCGGACACCTGGGGTGCTGAGTAATTGGGCTGGATTTCCCCTACCCCCCTGGCTGCTCTGTCAGCATCTCTTTTGTCAGCACCACCTCCTTCCCCGGTCCCCTTCTCTGTGGGAGTCCCACAGGGCTCCCTCCTTGTCCTCTCCTTTTCTCTCTCTGAGCCTTATCCTTCAGTATCTCCATCTGCTCACATGGGGTCAGTCTCACCTCTGTGCTGATACACTTCTCCACTCTGACTGTGACAGGTTGGACCCCCCCCCCCCATCCAGGGTGCCACCTGAGGTGCTGGGGTCTCACTGAGCCCGCCCTTTCCAGCAGCCTGGGTTTTCACACCCTGTTTGTGCTGTGCTAGGCTCTCAAGCCCTCTATAGCGCGCACACACACACAGTAAAGGCCACACCCAGCTGTAGATACAGACTGAAGTCAGCGCTGTGTGAGAGGATTCACCCTGCACTCATGTGCACACCCCCTTTGGGGAGTAAACTCAAAATAATATTGTCTTGCGCTGTATAGAAAGATCTGCACAGCGCTAGCACATAAAAATTCTCTCTCTCCCTCAATGTGAGGAGAGATATGCACAGCTTCTTGCCCCCCCCAGATAATAATTGCAGAAAATGGGTTTAAGAATAAAAAAACCAAGTTTATTAACTATAAAAGGCAGATACTGGCACTAGAAAAGGTTCAGAGAAGGACCACTAAAAAGATTAGGAGTTTGGAAAGGGTCCCATATGAGGAGAGATTAAAGAGGCTAGGACTTTACAGCTTGAAAAAGAGGAGACTAAGGGGAGGATATGATAGAGGTATATAAAATTATGAGTGATGTGGAGAAAGTGGATAAGGAAAAGTTATTTACTTATTCCCATAATACAAGAACTAGGGGTCACCAAATGAAATTAATAGGCAGCAGGTTTAAAACAAATAAAAGGAAGTTCTTCTTCACACAACGCACAGTCAATTTGTGGAACTCCTTACCTGAGGAGGTTGTGAAGGCTAGGACTATAACAGCGTTTAAAAGAGAACTGGATAAATTCATGGAGGTTAAGTCCATTAATGGCTATTAGCCAGGATGGGTAAAGAATGGTGTCCCTAGCCTCTGTTTGTCAGAGGGTGGAGATGGATGGCAGGAGAGAGATCACTTGATCATTACCTGTTAGGTTCACTCCCCTGGGGCACCTGGCATTGGCCACTGTCGGTAGACAGGATACTGGGCTAGATGGACGTTTGGTCTTACCCAGTACGGCCGTTCTTATGTTCTTATGTAGATTTTAAGTGATTATAAGGGATAGCAAAGAGAACAAGGCAGATTACTAAGAAAATAAAACAAAACAGGCATACTAAGCTTAAAATCTTAAAGAGACTGGTTTCAAGAAATATTTTCGCACCCTAAGTGTTGTTTAGACAAGTTGCAGAGTTTCTATAGCTTAGAGTTCCAGTTATTTCTCTTTACAGACTAGACTCCTGTCTTAGTCTGGACTCAACCCTAGCCTGTCGTACTGCTCAGTTCCTTTGTCTCTTCAGTTACTTTCAGCAGTCTTTCTTCTTGGGCAGGAAGGCAATGGAGACGAGTCTTGTTTGCCTTACTCCCCAGCCTTAAATAAGATTTACACAAGGCAGGAATCTTTTGTTTCCCAGTCTTGACCTTCCGCCCTTCTTTTAGTGGAAAATTACTCGAAGTCCAAGATGGTGTTTAGTACCAGGTGACAGGACCACCTGACCTAGTAGTGTCACAGATAGGTCGCAGGACGCCTCTCAGGAAGGAGTGAAATGACTATCTTCAAAGTCTTATTCTTTTTTCCTAATAGTCCATCAAGGCTAATGGCCTGTTGTCTGGTGTGTGTCTCCCAAATACACACACAGCTATAATTGTTACATAGTCGATATTCCTAACTTTAAACACAGAAATTATACATGCATAGAAATTGGATAATCACAGTCAGTCAAATGTAATCTTTTGGGTGATACCTTACAAGACCCATCTGGCATAAAAATATATCTCAGTTATGCCATGTCCATATTATAAGCACATTTCCCTAAAGAATATAGGGTGTAATGTCACACCAGCCCTGTCTCCTGCTGCTCATTCTCCCATCTGGCATGTTCTCGCCAGTATTCCGCCCTTTAATGGCTCATCTGGTGTCAAGCTCACAGTGCCCAAAACTGAGCTCAGAAATCTGCCCTGCCAACCCCTCTCAGCCAGTGATGTCGCCTGAATAGCTCTTGGTTTCCTTATGTGTGGTGCCTCATGCCCCATTCCCCTCTATACACATCCACTCCTCTGCCTCTGATGTGTTTCTGCATCAGAAATCTCAGGGCCTGACTCCATTGTCTTTGTTGAGTCCTTGGGGAAGATCTGAGAAGGAATTAAATTGTGCTGACACTTATGGCTGTGATAGGAGTGTTGTCTCTCGCTCCCCACTCTGATAGCAGAGGGGATGCTGAGTCTTAGGGAGAAGAAGGTGATAGTCCCCATCCTGCAGAAGGCGAATGAGGAGGGAGCCGGAAATAGCTGTATGGACTGAATTTCCTGGTCACAAACTGCTGTGTGATTTGTCACAGCCAGAGACAAAACTGTGCAACTGGTGAACTTTGCACAGGGCCCAGGCCAGGGAGAGGAGGGAAGGGTGTTTTTGTCTCACTTCCCCATCTGTCTGTATCACTGTGTGGAACAGCAGTGCCACTCTTCCGCACAGCACAGTAATAATCAGCCTCATCCTCTGCCAGGGCCCCGGAGATGGTCAGATAGCCGGCGTTACTGGACGTGTCTTTGGAACCAGAGAATCGAGCAGGGACCCCTGAGCCCTGGCCCTTGTTGGACTCTGAATAGTAATACAGCAGGTATCGTGGAGAATTCTCAGGTTTCTGCTGGTACCAGGACACAACGTGGTCACCGATGCTGGTCCCACTGCTCAGGGTGCAGGAGAGTTTCACGGTGTTTCCTGGGGACACTGACACTGAAGGCGGCTGAGTCACCACAGTCTGCGAGCTGGAACCTGGAAAATATGGTGGAAATTTATCAACACCTCCCTGTCAGTCCCCAGCCACTACTGAATCTCGTGGTGCATTGGCTTCAGCAGCAACTTATTTAACCCGCTCTCCCTTGTTCTCACCTGTGCACCACGTCCCCAGCAGGAGGATGAGGGGAGCCCAGAGCATGATGAGGAGATTTTGGGCCCTTAGGAGAAAACAGCCAGATCCACTGAGAAGGGCTGACAGTCTCTGCCCCTTATATTGATCCTCTTGGGGGGAAGCATCTAAGCTCCACCTTTATTCTAGTTTGTTCTTATCTGATTGGGTCCTATGATCACAGAGAGCTGGGCACGTGGGAGGAGAAACCATCCTTTAGTGAGGAGCTCCTGCTCTATAAGGTCACTAGCTCAGCTCCACTCCAGCAATGACCGTCTGCCAGGATCAAGGTTTCATTTGAATGCTCGCAGTGGAGGCTGCTGGAGTTCAAACTGTGCGACAGTTTCCATTCTAACCCCTCATTTTCAGTTATTTGTAACTTTCCCAATCCTTCCCCTTTCGGCCTGTCATTTCCCTGCTTTGTCTGAGGGGTCATTGATCACTCACATTGATCAGAAACCAACTCAGCAGTTTCTGAGAAGGAGGAGAGGGCAATAAATACACTTTGCCCAGGATTAACCATTTCTGGAGCTAACTAGGGCAGAGCTAAGGAGGAAATGGGGGGATTCTGCAAAGTTCCATTCTCCCATCTAAGGGCCCACACTAGAGGATCTGGGTTTTGTGTCAGGGAATGTACATTATTAGGAGCTGCTCTTTGCTCACTGGGATGATTTATTTCCATCATCTCCAGGCCGCCCAGCAGGGCTACACGAGTTTATGTTTATTCATGAGCAGTTCTTTATTGGGCAGAAAATGGAATTCAGAGAACTGGGCAGTGACTCTGCCGCCCCTTGTGCTGAGAGCTAGGAATGAAAATCCCACTGAAGAACTAAGTCTTCTTGTCATTGTTTATTACTAAAGACCAATGAGATGCATCACAGTCTGAGGAGGCTTCTCCTCAGGAATTCTCCTGGCTCCTTGCTCTTGGCAGTTGGGAAAGTGCTAGAAACATCACCAACGACAAAAATTACACGGAGTCTCAGCAGCACCAAGACAGGCCAATACACACCCTCAAATGTTCAGTAGCAAAGGCTATCTTGTGTCTATGTTTGTGGGGAAGGGAGAACCCGGCTCTGTCCAATACTACTCTGAGTCCCTGCCTTCTGGAATCTTCTGTTCCTGACCCATGAAGTTCAGTTCAGTTCCCAGCTGGCCTTAATTCAAGCGTTTGCAGGAGTTCCTCACAATGGAGCTGGTCTCACACGCAGGGTCCCAAGACAGACTGGCCACTGAGGGAGAGGAGGCTCTCAAATCCCTTCCCCAGGACCCAGATTGAACCAGGTGGAAAATCAAACATGGACTTGACTCTCCAGTTGGGAATATTTAGCCTCTGTTTATCTTTCATGGATTTTAAAATGGGTGACCAACCACAGCCCCACGTAACTCACCTCAAGCCTGGGAAGGGAAGGGTCTGCTATGAGCAGCACAAACAGTGAGCAGGGGGTGATGTCGACTATCCCAACACTGGCTGAGATTCTGCAAGAGCAGGAGAAGATGCATCAATGACTCAGCATTGACTTTATCAATGATCTGTTAACATGATCTGCAGGCAGCTTGGGGGAAAAGCAAACATCATGTATCACCGGAGCAGTACGTGAGCAGCGTGAGGAGCAGAGGGGCCCAGGCCATGGTGGGAATCCA